TAATTAAGTGTGCACTGTACTACTTTGTCTCCATGCTGAAGCAAACTTACCTGTAGCACAAGGTATTGATTAGTAGTATGCTTAATTAGAATAATTGTGTGGGTTTTTTTTTTTGCAAGGACCTCTTGGCATTTGTCACTAAGAAGTGATAGGAATATATCATTTTTACTGATACCTTGTAAAATACCTAATCTGTATTGCCAAATGTGATCCCTCTTTCTAGTGACAGCTTGGATGGGAAAACATTTTGTATCTAGAGGAGCTGGGCTTGTCACTTTTTCCGTTGGCAGAATGCACTCTTCCTGAGTCTGTCTTCCTTCAGTAGGTCCCCTCTTCTCCCACTACTCATCCTCTTCCTGATTTCTGCAGACTCGTGATTTGTGTGTTGTTTTTTTTTTTTTAAACAGATCTTCACCTTCCAAGTGTTAAAAATAGACCTAACTTGTTTCCTTCCCAGCATTCGGGAGAGATAGCTTGAATAGTTCAGTGCTTTGACTTTTTTAGTTTTAACTAACAGCTTGTTTTTTGTACTGAATTTATATTGTTTTAAAAGTACAATTTAATTAGAATACATTCTCTTAAGTGGATACGTATCTGTCAGTGTAAAGGAGCGTGTGCACTGATGTAAAAAAACATCCATAGCGAAAGGAATGTGCATAGCAAAGGTGCCTAGTATAAGGCACCCCTGTACTGATATACTTGTGTCCCTATTGGGTCACAATATAACTTTCCAAAATAACTTTGAATAACTTTACGAAAACCTCCAAATAAACAACATGCGCCTAGCAATGTAACTGTAGGGTGTATAACTTAAGGGATTCAAAATCAGAGTGAAATACAAATGCACTAAGGCCTGTATTAATTCTGTCTTCTATCAGTGTGCTTGACGGGTCACATCTCAACCTAGTTTTGGTATAGCTCCGAGGACAGTTCTGCCTGTCGTGGTCTCCTGGCCTCTGGCTCTGATAACTGTGGGGGTGAATTGTTGCCAGGGAAGGTGTAACCGTTCAGGTTCAGTTGTTCTGATTTTGAGTACAGTGAATGTGAGCTTGATTTGAACTCAGCAGTCTCTTCCATCGTCACTGTGTATACATTGATGACTTCCCCTCTGTCTAGGCTAGCTTCTCTTCCTGTCTACTAGAAACTCATAATGTATGCCCTGCTACTTTAAACTGTATGTGGCAAGAACTGAACTTCTCGTATTTCTTGCTAATGCCACCTCTTCCATCAGTGCTTGGGAGCTCTGCTCACCCTTGTGATGTTAAAGCTTCTAGCTGTCAAGTTATATCCACATTGTGAAACCTCTTATGTTCTGTAAAGCATTGTGAGCCTTGGGTGTTACATAGGGGCTCATTAAAATTATATAAGAAGAAATTATTTTAAATATCATTTTTGAGTTTGACAGAAGCTTTTCAAAATTTGGAATGGGAATCCTGTGCAACACTGCTTGGAGTTTGGTGTTTTTTCCCTGTTGGTTTGTATTTTGCCATTGACAGGTAACTGTCAGTAAACTATTACCAAGGTTCTGATACTTGTATGGACACTCTGGTGTGGATTATCTGAATTATAGTACTCTGAATTTGCTTTTTGTATGCAGCTAGGTATTTGCAAAGCATGTCTGTATTTACAGAGAGATATGCACAAAGTATACGTACAATAGGACTATGTAGATCAGGCTGAAGAAGAGGTCTGCACCCTGGCAGCTATCTCACACTGACTCCTCTTATCATTGCTGGCTTAAAAAAAAAAAAAAACAAAAAACAAAAAACACTACTTTGAGGCTGTTAGTGTGCCCGTAAGCAGTCTGCGTTCACGTGTATAAGCTGCGGTTGCGACATCGAGTTGCTGGATCTGATCTGCTGCTGTTACTTCCAACAGGGGAGAGCTGTCTGATTCTGACCTAATGGATCAAGAAGCAGTAAAGGCCCTCAAATAGTGCAGCTAAGTTGTCTGACAGGGAGTATAGTGTTCCTTTGCTTCAGAAACAATATCTTGCTATCAGGACCATGCTGCTTTGGATTTCAAGCTGTGTACATTCCTAGTTTGGGTACATTTCTAGTTGTTCCTACTGTTACAAAGGCTGTGGATAGATTTGGGGCAACTTTTCAGCCTGTCTATAAATCTATTTTGCTAGAAGCTAGAACAATAAATGTTTAATTTAAAAAATTTTTAAACAAATACTTTATTTACTTCATAAACTGTTAGATCCTAATGTTGAGTCATTGATTTTGTGAACGCTGAGTTTTTATTGTACTCATGTTCTCCTTTCGTCTTGGTACGCCGGCAATGAACAATGTATGTTGCTGCTGCTTACCAGTCTTCAGAGCCCTTATCCAAGCTGCTGCATAAGGTAGATGATAAAAGCCCGTTGCCCTGATGGAAATCGTAAGTCTCCCTTGAAGGCTCATCTTTTCTAATACTTGAGAAATGCAATGCCTCAAGAGTTTGAGTCCTGATACTTCAGACTGGAGTGTAACTGAATTTAGTGCCTAAATTAACTGAGTTAGCAAACAACTTTCACATAAGTTTGCATCTAGCTCTTTTCTGGAGGCTCAAAAATGACTGAATTCTGTTCTTTGTTGGCATCTCTCACTAATGTACTGTGAGACAAAGTGGGAGGCTCAATCCACTGCCTTCTGAGTGGGCAGGAAATGAAAATGTTAGTTTCGGTCATGTTTTTTCTTAAGTCAGCGTAAAGAAGGTGCAGAAATGTTAGTGAAGCACTTTGGATGGTCTGAGCTCTAAGCAGATAAGTGTATATCTTTCCAGTTCCAAGAGCTGTTTACATCTTCTGGGAAGAAAAGACAATCTCTAGAATTTCTTCAAATTCTGTGCCAGGGTGTTGTCTGTTGGTGGAGTTTGCTTTAGAAACGCATGCATTTTCTCTTCTGGTGCGCGCACACACGAATGTGTGCCCCTCAGAGCACAGCTATTGCTGGCATGAAATTTGATCATCATTGGCTTCTGAAATACTAATGCCAAAGTATTTGAGCCAAAATGTGTGCCTGGGCAGTCGCAGACTCTTACTCTGTGGACATTAGTGATTGCAGGATTTATGACTCCTTTGTAGGATTTGAAGTCTTCTGAGCTTTGCTAGCTAGCTCTCAAGTGGCATACTTCGGTGGTCTAAAGGGCTGGTAAATTGAATATATGCATTTCCTGTGTGCTGAATCCACCAAAACTATAAATGGAGGAAAAAAAGGTTTTCACAGCCAAGACAGTAAGCTTTGTTACCAAGTGGTGTGTGCATAGCGCTTAAATACTTGCAAATGACCTCTATTTAAAAAGAAATCAGTGAAGGCCTCTATCAGCTGCTGACACTTTCCTGTCAAAGGCAGCAAAATCTTTGGTGTAATCCCTTTGTGTTACTGCACTGTACTCTGCAGTTGTGCTTTTGATGTGGGAGAGGCAAAACACTTAACGTTGCTACTACTTTCCATGGAGATATTTTAATGCTTGCTCTTTAGAGCCATTACAGAAATGCCTTCCGAGGGGTTAAGCATAAATCTATGCCAAGAAGAGGATAGGCTGGTCAAATAACTAGTGGTGGTGGGTTTAACTTGTGTTATGAAATAGGTGCAGCTGTAAGGAAGATGAGTTTCTTCTTTAATTTCTTAAAATACTAATTATTTTACTTGCTTTAGTTTGCAAAACAAATATCCTAGAACAGAATTTCCTTTGTGTCAAGTGTTCTTCAAATAATATACTGTAATCAAGCATGGAGGGAATGAAGCTTTGCCTGATAAAGGGTTGACTTCAGGATTACAGTCCAAATTGCTGACAGTTCAGATACTCTGTTCTTCCCTATATTTGATATAGGTCAAATTAGACTAGCCAGTAGTTTGGAAATGGTTAAATGTATGTCTTTTCAATGGGCATATCTCACTGAGGTGTTTTGGAAGATCTTCAAAGGATTTAAGAACTAGTCTTCCAAAAGAAATGAAACTAAATGCAAAAGAGATTACTTATTTCATGAACTTGAACCTTGGCAGAAGTAGGATTAATACTTTGGTAAAGTTGCTTATGCCAGTGAAGTTGCTCAAATGCATGTTGGCTAAATCCAGACCTCAGTCACCACGGAATTAGGAAATGCGAAAGCCTGATCCTGGAATACCATAGATGTGCACATTTCACAGATGTGATAGACTGCAAAGCTGTAGTCTTAGTGTGCCTCCAACAGCTACCTCTGCACTTCCTGACTTCTGGTACCTGGAATGGGGAGTTTTCTTGATATTTTAAAGGGTCTTGCTCCACTTTAAAATACTGATTTTTAGCAAATGTTAGTTTAAGCTACTTTCTAAGAGCTGGTCAAGTCTGATAAAATCATACTAATGTCACTTTTTAAAAATGAAAGACCCTGTTAAATACCTGTCCTCTGAGCAGACAGTGTAGGGAGCTGTAAGGACTGTATTGGTCCTTTCTAGCGCTCAGTCCCTTTCTGCAGGCTGTGAAGGGCTGTTTGAGAGAGACACTTAAATTGTAGCTGGAGAGTGAGCTCTAGTGTTCCCGGAAACAAGTGCAACCCAACTTCCTAACACCAGGATACCGGAATGGGGGGAATGCAGGCTCAGCACTTAGCACACTAGAGTCAGTGTTTGCAGTAAGGTTCCTGAGAGGGGTGGGTTTTTTCCTGATGTTTTCACTCTTAGCAGTTTGCTAAAAGGGGCAACGCAGTGGTGTGGGGCAGCTTTGCCTTTGGTTTCAAGGGCTGCAGGCGGGTAGAGGCACCTCCCTGGTGTGGGGGAGCTGCTGGTGGGCTGCAGGGAGGTGCGGAGGCTGGGCTGGGCTGCAGCTGGGCGGTGCTGGGGAGGTGGAGCTGGCTCCGCCCCAGGGCCCTGCGCCCCCCCAATCCGCTGCAGC